TTACAGTGCCCAGAGGAGATTTTTAACATTGATCGTGTAACATAAAGATTTGTTTTTTAGAAATGTAACACAACACAAGGAAAGTTTGAATTGTTTTTCCTCATAAAAAGACAATTTTGTCTTACCAATCCCCCCCTTTCCCAATTGCGTGCTTTTACAGTGACCAGAGATTTTTAACATTGATCGTGTAACATAAAGATTTGTTTTTTTGAAATGTAAAACAAAACAAGGAGAGTTTGAATTGTTCTTCCTCATAAAAAGACAATTTTGTCTTACCAATCCCCCCCCTCTCCCAATTGCGTGCTTTTACAGTGACCAGAGGAGATTTTAAACATTGATCGTGTAACATAAAGATTTGTTTTTTTTGAAATGTAACACAAAACAAGGAGAGTTTGAACTGTTCTTCCTCATAAACAGACAATTTTGTCTTACCATCCCCCCACCTCTCCCAATTGCGTGCTTTTACAGTGCCCAGAGATTTTTAACATTGATCGTGTAACATAAAGATTTGTTTTTTTGAAATGTAACACAACACAAGGTATAATTAAAAAATACAGAAGAATAGAAAAGGCATACTTAATGTCAGCGAGGATCTTCCGTATGACTTTCTTGAAAATTTAACCAAGATTGTTCAACAACTGTAGCTACTCTCTTTTCATATTCACGTTTATTTTCTTGATACAATTGTGCTGCTAAAGAATTAGCCGGTGAATTTGGATTTGGTTCATCCAGTAATGACTGTAACAAATAAAATGAAAAAAAAAAAGGATAGTATAATCAACGTTTTCTTTTTTTCTTTTTTTTTTTTTTTAATATTACAACAATATGTTACAAAAGAAAATAATGAAGAAGAAGAAGAAGTAGGAGGAGGAACAACTGTATAAATACATCACACATTAATTATATTTGTACACACTACGGGGTGTATTATTAAAAAGTTTCAATTTTCAAGCTGAAATGAAAAGAACAGGGACAAAACATTAAAAAAAAAAAGAAAAAAGAAAAAAGAAACAAACAAAAGGTTTGAAAAAAAAAAAAAAGTAATAAGACTATAAAAGTGAAATAATGCATTTATTATTAAGTGTGTGTGTAATGCGTGTATGTAATGTTTTATGTGTGTATGTGTGTGTACGCGCACGTCAACGTGTCTGTTATACGATAGCGCGAATTATATATATATATATGTATATATGTATAATATTTATATGTATATATATATATATATATACATATATATGAATTTACGTATTGTACAAAGAGAGTACTACTAAAATCTAATTTAAAAAATAAAACTATAAATCTGCGCTTTCTTTTTTTGTTTTTTTCAAAGGTATTAATATTTTTTTTTTTTGCACAGAAACAAAAAGTCAATACATATATGTATATATATATATATATATATATATATATACATATATATATGTATATATACATATGTAATGTTATTATTTAATATTACTGATTTTTGTTTGTTGTTGTTGTTGTTCATCATGTTATTTTTATCATCAAATATATCGAAATAAATAAATTACACAATTTTATAATAATTTATTATTCAACATTGTAAAAATTCGATCTAATGTTGCACATTGTTGGTTGTAATTCAATAGAGCTTCTTTGTTTTTTTCTTTTTCTTTTTTTTTTTGGAAGAAACATGCTAAAAGATTCAGCGCAAGCTCCCTTGGTAAGGCTGCACACATCTCTCCTCCATCATATTCTAATGGCTGTAGAGGTTGGTTGAATCAATGCTGCTGCATTGACAGCATCTCTCATGAATAAACGTCTCTGTGACTAATCCACAAAACTCTGCTCCACACAAGCCTTCACTCGTTTCTCGTACTCGCGTCGATTCTCTTTGTACAGTTGTGCTGCCATTGAGTTGGCAGGTGAATTCGGGTTCGGGTCACTTAACAGCGACTGCAACCACATAAGTCGTATTTCGTTACAAGACAACTAACTTAACATTTGATTATTCTTTTTGTTTTTTTTTTTTTTTTGGACAGACACCTGGTTAAAATACTACTTTTGTTTGACAATGAATTAATGACAAATCTTTCTTCTAAGACAGCAGAATGTAAACATTTTTCAAGTGCATGTCACATTTTGTTCAATGACCTACGCTAGACTTTGTTGAATTGCAACCGCTGTTAAGAGAAAATTTGAACAATTCGCCATTTTATATTTTAAGAAAATAATTTGCTTGAAAATTCAAAATAAAAAAAAAAAAAAAAAAGAAGAAGTTTCAACAGTTTACATTTAACAATTAAAACAATAATGAAAAGTTATTATTAATTATTGTTTTGTTTATCCATTTAATAATCTTAGAGAGGATCATTTTTTTTTACCTTCATGATTTTTCATGTGATATCACACATAATATCTTTTCAAGTTGTTTTATCTCAGATATTTGAAATGATATAAGTTTACTTAATGTAATTTAAATTTAAAACTATTCATTTATGTATATTATATAATTTAACAACAATTATTTTGATTGAAAATTACTTTTATGTACGTGTAAACAATGTTTGTTACTTTCATGCAAATGCATTCAATTCTAATAATCATTTTTATCAATTAAATTTTGTTCGTATAATTAATTCTTTTTTTCTTTGAATACGAATCAAAATATATTGTATATTATATAAAATATATTTCTGTATAAAATTGAAAAGAGTATGATGAAATAATTAAAGATATCTATTAACTTTATGACTGCCATATTGAAATCATATATTTTACCTAAGACGCCATGACACTTTTATTATTCAAAGAATATAATAGCAAAATAATAATAATAATAATAATAAAAAATGGTAATTATTCAATAGAACACTTTTTTTAAAGTATCTTCTATATATCGGCCATATTCAAATACACTAATTTTCAATTTTCATTTAGTTTTTTACAATTGTAATACACTCTGGTTACCAATGACTCCATTGTGGTGTCTTAAGAGAAACTGTGACCACTGTGGCTGGTCATATATGATCAACATGGTAGTCAAAGTGTTCAATAAATTATAATTTACCTGTATAGATGTTAAGATAGCAGAAACATCATATGTAGGACTCCAACGATTTTGTAAAATGTCAAGGCAAATACCCCCATCGGCATATACATTAGGATGAAACATCTTGCTAACGAATCTTACTGTAGGTGGCTTGTTTGGATATTCTTCTGTGAACTCTATTGTGAGTTTAAATGTACCATCCTCAAATGGAGTATCATGTGGCCTAAAACAAATTTAAATTTTAATATTTATACTATCATTCATAATTATATTAAGATTACATATGAATAATAATATATAGTTAGTTAGTAAGTTTGTTAACATATACAGAAGTATAATTAAAGATTAAAATTATACAATTTTTCATTGTAATACTTTAACGAAGCTACTGTAAAGATTAAAAACTATAATATTAATTATAGTGTTAAATCATTCGTATGTATACGATGTTCTTACTCTCAAGTCATCAATGACTACCGTAGTGTCTTAATTTATACAGAAGTATATTTAAAGATTAAAATTATACAATTTTTCATATTGTAATACTTTAACGAAGCTACTGTAAAGATTAAAAACTATAATATTAATTATAGTAATTAATTATAGTGTTAAATCATTCGCATGTGTACGATGTTCTTACTCTCAAGTCATCAATGACTAACGTAGTGTCTTAATTTATACAGAAGTATTTTTAAAGATTAAAATTATACAATTTTTCATTGTAATACTTTAACGAAGCTACTGTAAAGATTAAAAACTATAATATTAATTATAGTAATTAATTATAATGTTAACACTAGATATACCACCATTTTCAATATAACTAATTTCTACCACATCAGTCAAAATGACTGTTGTATAAAACAAAAAAATACTTTTTGAGGCTTCCAGTTTTTTATGTACTCTTAAAAAATAACAAAACATGTTTAACAATAATAATTTTAATGTATAAATGAATTTATAGACATTTTTAAATAACAATACGCTTAATTATTTAGTTTGTTGGTCGCAATTTCTACTTATGTAAATTTTACTGTATTTACACTTTCCGTATACACTTTTTCTTGCATCTATTGTAAATATTTGTAGTTTTATTATAATTGCAATATTTTATTTGACAACATTTTTATACAGAAACTGGGCCACTTGTAGTTGGTATGTCAGCTTCGTGTGGTTTTTGCTTTGAAGTCTGATATTCTGAAGCAACTTCTTCTGCTAATCGAAACAACCTTTCTGAGAGATATTTTCTGTTGTATTTTTATACAGTATCCAAGCAATTTATTCCTGATCAATGTAAAATATTGAAGACTTGAAGTGGCCATCTTTTGGAAGTAGATTTCACGGTATATTTTCGTGTCATTTGATCAGAGACTTAGTTCTGTTATAAAATTATACAGTTTTAGGTCATTTCTTAACAGTTTGATCAATTTTGATGTGTTTATGTTTTGTCTGGTTTGTTCCTGTAAACACTAAGTGTGCATCCATTGGAAGACTTGAAGTGGCCACTTTTTGGAACTAGATTTCACGGTATATTTTCGTGCCATTTGATCAGAGACTTAGTTCTGTTATAAAATTATACAGTTTTAGGTCATTTCTTAACAGTTTGATCAATTTTGATGTGTTTATCTTTTGTCTGGTTTGTTCTTGTAAACGGTAAGTGTGCATCCATTGAATTGGTACAACAACTTTGATAAACGAGTCACATGCTGTATTTCTTCAATTTGCGTACAATATTGCAAGAAGTCTTCAATTTTGTTTGGATAATTGTCCAATTTTTCCCCAAAATTTCGAAACTTGAAACAAAACTGTCCTTGTGCACTTATACAAAGTTTGCCACTTTGTATTAGTTTCATGATTATCCCAAAATCATATTTGTGTAAATAAAACATTACAGTACCCATCGATTGTTATAGTTAGCCCAATTTTATGTTATCATTGAATTTCTTCATAGAAATATGAAGCAGTCATTTTGACTGGTACTGGTTATAAGTGTCCATGACAAACATTATTTTTGTTACTAATAGATATAAACAAAAAATTAAATTCATAAAATGTAAAAATGTATTCTCTACTAGTACCTAAAAAAAAGTCATAACATCATTTTGAAAATCAAATGTTACATGAAGTACAAAATTTTGAATAGAAATGGTCCTGACCAATCAAAATGACTGATCTAATCTAACCAGTCAAAATGACTGGTCTAGTCTAGTCTGGTTTGGTCTGGTCTGGTCTGATATATCTAGTGTTAAAGATTAAAATTATACAGTTCTTCTTTACAATACTTTAACAAAGCTAATGTAAATTAATATTAACATACTATAAGAGTAAATCAAGTGTGAGGTTCTTACCCAAATATAACCGCATTCCATATCATAATATTATTGTCCGTAGGTGCACCAGATACTCCAGTAGGTGGATCTTCTTGTAATCTGTTTTAAACAAAATATATTTATATATATATATATATATATTTGATTAATTAATTACATTAACTTGTATATTTATCTTATAAAGATATTTACTATATTAGATCATTTATATATTATTATCATTACTGTAATAATTACTCTTTCGCAATGAATGCTAGACTTCTACTTGTGTGCTAGATCAATAAAATCAATGAAACATAATTTTAGCAAACTTACATAATAACAAATGTACATATATATATTAGAATATTGCAACTTGAAGAAAAAGAAAAAAAAAAGACTAGTAGATATATATATATCAATGAAAAATAAAACTTGTGCCAAAATTGACATCATTCATAAAATTGTTCTAATCCTTAATTATATTTACAGTCATTAAAAATGATTGATTGTTTTTTTGTTTTTTTGTTTTTTCCAAAAATATGATACAAATTGAATTAAATTCATTTCAAATGTATTACAACAAGATTTTGATATATATTTTATTTGAATAAAAACCAAATCAAATTGAAATGAAATATACTGTATAATATATAGTATAAAATGAAATAAATTATCTTTCAATTGAATACAATAATGATCATGAATTTTTTTTGTTACGAAAGCAAAATCTTGAAAATACAAAACAAAAACTGTATAAAAATAAACAAATAAATAAATAAATAGATAAACAAAGAGGATTTATTCGTATAAAGTTTTTGCTTGGTAAAATAGTAGATGAAAGAAACATTAAAACAGGGTGCACTCTGTTCACAAGCACAAGTTCCTAATAATAACTTGGTCTTCACAATGACGTTAGCACGTTGCGTATGCTCGGATTACTCGAATTCATCCTCTCCCGCGAGAACAGCAACAGCAACAGCAAACAGCAGCAGCAATAGAGGAACAAATACATAGACAATAAATACACACATATACAATAATTGTAATAGTGTGTATTATTATTCCATTTAAAGAAGATTCCGTTATACTAATCCTAATAAATTAAGGATAATTGTTCTAAAGACACCAATAATAATAAATGAAAAACGTACAAAGTAGTAGTAGTAGTAGTAGTAGTAGTAGTAGTAGTAGTAGTAGTATGAATCAAATAAAAAGAATTATATATATAATAATAATAATAATAATAATAATAATAAAAAGAATGTACCTCTTGAAATCTCTCATTAGTCTTCTTCTTGCAGGGGTAGACATCCCTCTGACGAAAGGGTTGGTCGCACCAAAATCGTCGAATTGAATGAATTTCTTGACAGTTTTGTAATTTAATTTTTCAACACCTCTATCTCTTTATCTCTATCTCTATCTATCTCTCTCTCTCTCTCTCTCTCTCTCTTTAGTTTGATGCAAAAAATTAATAGCGCAAGAGTAATGAGATTTAATTAAGGATAGAAGGAAGAAGTAGAAGAAGAAGGAAAAGAAAAACAAAACGTAAGGGTTCGTAGAAAAAAAAAAAAAGAGAGAGAAATGAAACACCACGCCACCCGATACGATTCCTCTGCTACGACTTCTTTAACTTCGGTCTCTTTCTTTCTTTATTCTTTCTTTCTTTCTTTCTTTCTTTCTTTCTTTCTTTCCTTCTTTCCCCTCCTCACTCTTCGTCACTCGTCGTAGTCGTTTCTTTTTTACAATCTCGTAGGTCGTAACAAAAATCGACTGTTTGTTCCTCTTCTCCTTTACTGCGTACAACGGCGTCTCTTGTCTCTCTCTGTTTCACTAGGAGCCTTTTGTCATACACCGAAGGCCACCCTTCTTCTTCTTCTTCTTCTTCTACTACTTCTTCTTCTTCTTCTTCTTCTTCCTCCTTCTTTCGATATAATACCGTTATAGGTCGTTCAAAATGAGCTTCTTTTTTTAAAGACTTTGGAATGAACACTTCGGATTCGGCTTATCGTTATATATATATACATATATGTATATGTATATATATATATTATGTGCAACACATATAGCACGAAGCGTTAATTTTTCATCATTTTCCCCCGAGTTTAGCAATGAAGCCGCGCCAGCGCTAATACCCCCTCTGCCTCTGCTTTACGACAAAAACTTATTACTGTCCCGAACAAATCATTCGTCAGAGACTATCAAAAACGACGAACAGCTGGACTGTACTGAACCGAACTAGGTAGAATAAGAAATGATTAAGAACAGAAACTCACTCTGTCTATCTCTTTCTATCTTTCTAGTACCAATACACTATTAACTTCGCTTTCTCCCTTTGTGTGACAACCCGTTTTGCTTGCGTTATCAATCCGCCAACTTGATTTTTCCCTAGCCACACTAGTTTCCTAGTTAGTTTCTTTCTACCTTTCAATAATTGATCTTCTTTTTGATTGGCTATCTTTGGACTTATTCTTCTACATGATTTTCAACTAATCAAATTGGTTTGTTTTAGTTATTTTCTCTTTTACGTTTGAATGGACGATCTTCTTTTTGATTGGTTATCATTGGACAAACTGTTAGTGAAACGGACCAATGACAAATACGCGCAAGAATTTAAGAAGCTTTCGCGAATCTTACATTTTATAATTTTATTTATATATTATTATATAATATAAGATATTAGAATTTGTCAAGATCTTTTTATCTTTATACGATTAATTATCAAATTATGTATCATTTATAAATAATATAAAGTATCATTTTGATATTTGCAAATTTACAATAGCAATAGTTGTATTATTAGGTGGACCGGAAAGTAATGTCACTTTCTAACCTTAAATTCAAAAGAATAAATTTCTAACAAATTGATATTTTTAATCAATAACATAATCAACTTTGTTATCACAACCTTTCTTCATCTAGTATGCAAATTTTTAATATCAAATTGATAAAAATCAATCGGTTTTTGATAAAAATATACAAAATTTGACATTTGTAGAAACGATATTACTTTCCGGTCCACCTAATAATAATAGAAAATTGTTATTTTCGATATTTATTTTATTAATAAATAAATATAAATAATTTTTGTTAATTTTTATATTACAAAAGTTATATTAAAATATTATATTTATAACATTATTCATCTTTTATCTAAAATAAAGATATATAAACGTATATAAACTTTGTAGGTCTTCTCATGATAATCAGCTTATAATTAGTATGGATTAGAATATTAATACTGAATATATGTTGAATTCAATATTTCCAATTATATCCTTTGATGGTATCCATAAATCCTTGCAGTAATTAACGTTTGATAAGATGTTACATCAATAATGCCATTTGTCTTACAACAAATGTGTGTATAATTTTTATTATAAGAACATAACTCTTGAAAGAATAATAATTATGAAAATATAACTTAAAATAAAAAAGAAAAAGAAAAAACACACATTATTTTCAATAAATCAACAGGAATGTAACACAAATAATAATAATAATAATAATAATAATAATAATAATAAAATGCAAAATTGTTGCATTGAATTGTAAAGTAAAACACTTTTTCTGTTAAAAAGAAAGAAAGAAAGAAACAAAAAAAGTGACTGTAAAATTTGAACTATTTGATTAAATTATATCGATACAGTTAAAAAAAAACAACAAAACAACAAAACAAAACAAAACCCGTATTTTGTGCTAAAAATACAATACAATAAAAAATATGTAAACAAATTGTTTTTGGTTTTACATTATTATGTATAATATGATGTAAGTCGTTCTATGAGTTCAGATTTACGTCCAGCTGTTGATAATTTAACATTGCGCAAAAATTGTCGTAAATCTGATACTTTATATTTATCCAACTATAAAAGAAAGAAATTATTTTCAAATTAATATTTTTATTTTATTATATTGTAAATAATGTAGAATAATAATAATAATAATAATAATAATAGAAAATAACCTGATTTCTTTTGATAATTTCAAGAACATTTACATCATCGATTGATTTATCAGTAGAATTTTTATTATCTTTGTATTTTTTCTTTGCTGGTTCAAATTCGATTTCCTCGTCGATAAATATTTCATTAATTTGTTTCGTTAAATCGCCAATCCTTTCTTGAAGCAAATCTTCCGCAGGAACTGAATAATTACATTACAAATATTTCTTTTTCACTTGTTATTTATAATTAATTAATTATTATTACAATACTCACGTGTAAGATCTTCCGGTGGATCTCGTACATCCAAATCCAAAGCTAATGTTTCTATACTTTGTAATTTGACTTGCAATGCTGGATTTGGATACTTTTCCGGATCATAAATTTGAGTTGATTTTTTAATCATTTTTTCAAACAATTCAACAGCTTCATGATTAATTGGAACTTTGTTGTCTTGATCATTATACGCATGTTCATACATTTCTTCACTAAAATCATTTACTTCTTCTAAACAAGTAAAATAAACAATTATATAATTTTTAAACAAAACAACAACAACAAAATTATGATTGAATTGTGAAAACGAACCATTGTATGGTAATTTGTATAAATAAAAACCTCCTTCATCGGGCATTGGTATCATGTTGTATAAATATGATCCAGAATTTTGTCTTATGGTTACTCTACATGTTATTTTAAGCTTCCTTTGATCACATTTATTTAATAGACCAGCAAATAATAATTTTTCACCTAATAAATAAGATTAAAGAAATGTTATTATTATTATATTACTATATTATTTCAATAGTAGTAGAAAATATTGAAAAATATTGAATACCTGTGTATTTATTATTAAAAAGACATAATTAATAATGAATAATTGAATACACGTGTATTTAATATTAAAAAGACATATTAATAATAAATAAGACATAATTAATTAGACATTAATATTAAATACACATATATTCAATATTTTTCAATATTTTGTGCTACTTTATATATATATGGTTATTTTATATTATATATTATATATATTATATTTATTATACTATTATATTATTATATCACTATACTATTCTCGTTTTTCTTTAAATAAAGTATTAATAATAGTAGTAATAATAGTAGTATATATAATAATATAACAATGTAACATAAATAAAATAATAGTATACTCTATTATACTGTTATACTACTTATTTTATATTATATATATATATATATATATATATATATATATATATTATAATATTTATATTATTATATATTATATATTAATATTATATTTAATTAATTAATTTATATTATATATTATATTATTATATTATTTATTATTTAATTTATATAATATAAAATAAGTATATATATATATTATAATATACTATTCTCGTTTTGCTTTAGATGAAGTATTAATAATAGTAGTAATAATAGTAGTAATAATAGTAGTAATAATAGTAGTATATATAATAATATAACAATATAATATATAAAAAAAATAATAGTAATATAATAATATTAATATAATATTACCTTCGCTGCAATTTTTATTACAAGAAACAAAATATGGTGCATGTAAGTGATACATAGGATCACAAGACAATGGTTCAACATCAATTAAATCAATTCCCATTTCATAAATATTTTCAAAACTTTTAACTTCATCTAATGTAAAATATATTTCTTTATTGCCCAATTTTTTCATTTTTCTCACATCTGCATGTAATAATGGCATAATAATCTTCTCTTCGTCATCTTCATCCTGAAAATATACAGTATTATTGTTTATCTTTAGAACAGATGCAAATGTAATACATTTCATTTGGAATATATTTATATTGATGATATAAATATATATTTTTGCAATTATAATTAACATTTCAATTACAAAATTTAAATAAATATTATTACTATTATACTACTATATATATATATATATATATCATATTTATTATACTATTATATTACTATACTATTTATATACTATTTATATATTACTATTATATTTCTATACTATTCTCGTTTTTCTTTAAGTAATAGTAGTAGTATATATAATAATAGTACTATATATATAATAATATAATATAATATATAATAATATTAGTAATATTAAGTATAGTAAGTATAAATTATAGTAGTATATAAAATAAATATAATAATATAATAATATAAAATAATATAATAATGTAATATAAATAAAATAATAGTAATAATAATATTAATATAATATTACCCCTTAACTATAATTATTATTATTATAAGAAACAAACAAAATAGAAATATTTATATATTTATACAAATTTCTTAATTCATTCAGATAACGAGTCAGACTCGTCCACCATAACTTCTTTCAAATAAACAGATGACGTGTCTAACTCGTCAAATATACCCAAAGTATTAAAAAATCTACATAAAACAAACCTTTTCTACATCAGTATCTTCCTTTCTTCGAAGATACGTGTATGAAACCAAAGGAGCATTAGTTTCTGAATCCATTGCTATGCTTTTTATATTTTGTGATTTACTGTAACATTATAAATAATACAATATTATTAAACATGAACAAGAGTTATTATGATTGAAATATAAAAATGTACAAGAACAACAAAATACATGGTGTGTCTATAAAAGTTCGATGAATGGTCCCATATTTTACAAAGTGCACTAACAAGGATGTGGTGCTCGTGCATACACATTGAAAGACATGTCAACAAACATCGTTCACTGTAGTGAAACGATGGTAAATCCTGCGACCCAGCAAACAGGGTCAGTGTCAGAACTTGTGTCATTGCAACATGAAGCTCAAAATGGAGCAAAATGTTCAACTTTCTCCCTAGATACAAGGTCACGGTGCTTACAAGGCTGCACTGGTTGCACACTCTCTTTATTGTCCAGATTTGGCGCCAGTAGACTTCTTTCTGTTTCCTCAGCCTAAATTAGTCCTGAAAGGCTTATCCTTCGCAACGATTTTGGGGTTCCTAAGTGGGAGTGGGGATTTTGGAGACCGCAGTGCTTCGAGTAATTCCACAAGAAGCGTTTACTGACAATTTCCAACAGCTGAACAACCGACGTCAGATGTGGCGAATTACTTTGAAAGCCAGTAAAGGTATTTTGTTGGTAACTCTTGTTTCCTTTGAGAATGAGACCATTAATTATACTTTTTAGACACACACCATGTATTATTATATCAGTAAAATACCTACACACAAAGATTCGATATATCAACATTTATTACAACATCTTTGCCAAGTCTCCATGGTAACTTTGCCATATGTCTAGATGGTCGTTTAACTTGTTGCAATAAATCTTTATAAGAAGTCCTTTGATAATCTTCTTTATTAAGATTTCTAGATAACATCTCAAGATCTTTGTAAAATAATTCAACGTCCCATTTTAGTCCTAAAGCAACAACGTAAAGTAATATATTTAAATTATTATAAGTTGATACTTTAGCTCTGATACGATGCTTTTCATCTTCATTGGTCAATGGTGGAACATCATGACATGTAAATAATATAACTCTACGTGCTGACATTGTTATATTTATTGATGAAAAATTTAATGCTGCGTGCCATAATACATCTTGCAGTGGATAACAAGTAGACGAACTCATTTGTTCATAATCCTTCCATTTGGAATCTCCTATAGAAATAATTTGATAAATAATTCAAATGACAAATAATATTCAATAGCAAAATTATGAATATAGGTTTGTTGTTAATGAAACATTATAATGTGGTTACATATCTTCTAGTTATTTTTTATAACATTTAATGATTAAGACTTATTATTTTTGACTCACGTATTTTTTCAACTTCTTTTAATTTGTTTATATCAATGACTGAAAGTTTTTGTAAAGTTAATATGTTTTTTATTTCTGGATTCATATCCCATTGTTCTGTACCAAAAAGTACCAAACCCATCCAATCTTGTCTGTTCCATACTAATTTTTGTTTTAAAATATAAATATAATCCTGTAAAAAAAAAAGAAAATAAAGGGAGTAGATAAAAAAAAAAACGTGGTTTTTAAAATATATAAACATGAAAACTTTTGGCTAAGAGTATACTTAGAAATTATTAATTGTACAGTTTAATGATAAAATGTTTTGTTAAGTGAAATTATCAAATGAAATGTGTGATACCTCTAAACATGATACAAAATATGGTACTCCATCTTCATTTTTATGAAACATTTCAGGAGATGTGTCAATCAAAAAAAGTGTACAATCTCGAACACCATAAGCTTCATCTGTATCATTATTTTCCTCTAAATCACTGTCATTATCAAAATCTTCTGTATTTTCTGACGTCATCTTTTTAATTGTTTAATTTATTGATAATGTATAATTGAAAGAAAAAGTATAAATCACATACACGATTAACGTAGTTACTAATCTTGTGCTTTGATAGCAGATTTTTAAAAAGATTGCTTCAGTCAGTGTATTGTTCAATAGAACAACTAAACACAACAAACTTAATACGCACTTGAGACAAAATTAGGTTATATGTATTCTAAATATATTTAAATAATTGTAAATATTAAAATATATGAACTTATGAATATGACACTGTTTTACAATAATCAAAAAAATATTCTTTAAAATATAAGTAATTATTTTCTACTCAATTCTTTGTAAAAATATTATATAAGACATTTCTATCTACTGTTGATCTACAAATGACAATGTAAACACTGACGCCATTTTACGGTTACTATGTCGATAACATAATTAGGTTTCATTATATCGACGGTCGATAAAACAGTTTATATTGTAGTATAAAAAATGCATGGTTTAAAGTACCTGGTAGAAGTTATAATTAAGATAAGTTTATTATATTAAAATGTGAACCTGTTTTATCGACTGTCGATGTAAAATAGTTACCGACAAAATAATAACCATGAGATGGCGTCATCGTTCAAATAAAATTCAAAATCTTTAAATATTCTTTACTAAGTTTCAATATTTAACAGGTTGAACGCCACGTCAGTCATCGGTGAGTGACACTAGACTTTACGTTTAGGCCACGTCAGTCATAAATGACTGACAGCTTATAACATATGTACATCTAAGCAGCGCACGTGGCCTGACGGGAGTTTCCTTAAAAATGGGCATGGCGCTCAACGTGTTAATCGTTATCATTATAATCCAACTTTTTATAAACACATATATATATAATATCGTGTTTGATATTTTAGATAAGTAACATAATTCCTCTAATCTTAATGAATAAATAAATAAAGAATGAAGAAATCGTTCTAATAATATCGTTCCCCTTTTTAAAAGATTCCATTTAAAGTAAGGGGACTTCGTATTTTGTAATAAATCGACGCTTCAAGATCGATATCGTTCATATGAAAGGCAATATTGTTCGGCAGTCGATCACTTTAACCTAAACAATTAATTCCTCTAATGCAACGAAGCATAAAGCTGTCAGATTTAAGACGAAAGCTTGATACACGTTGGCGTGCGCCTTAATTTATGACTCCCTTCAAAAACTATGACTGTTATAATGTTCTCCTCTTTCCTTCGACTCCGCATTTATACTTCACGTATTTAACGTGTGCTAACGTTGAGCGTGCTTTATCGAAAACACCGTATTATTTTCTTTTTTTTTTTTTTTTATTATTATTTGCAAGCCTCGCATTTTTCACTTATCATATTTTGCTCCGATCGTGATCTTAATTGATATAGAACAAAAATGACTGATAAAGAAAAAAAAAAAAGGAAATGATTATTATATTTTTGTTTTATTTGTATATTTTTATTTTATAAATGGTAGTTAAACCGTTTAAACTTCCCTATTTAAGATATTAAATAACATATTGTATTATAAGTTCACGAATAGTATAGAAAAAAAAAAAAGAAAAAGAAAAAGAAAAAGAAAAAGAAATCATGAAATATGACCAGCGTAGTAATCGTTTCTGTCTCGC